TGAGTTTCAAGCCAGCCAGGGTTACACAGTGACCTGTCTTTTCACTTTAGAATCCTATCCAAGTCCTCACAGCTTAGCTGTAGTTTCTAAGATGTACCCAAGTCCTTCACCCTTCAGTAGGGAAGAGGGAGAGATAAGACAGCGATGAGAGAAAACAGAGTTGGAACAAAAGGATAAGCTGAGTTCATTACACTATTCTGAGCAAAGGAAAAGAGAGGCTGAGTACTCAGACCAGGCTTCTGGATCCAGGCTTTCTGTGGTAGGAAGTTGCACAAGGTCTTCAACAGGCAGAGAATAGAAAAAGCTAGAAAAAAACCATCTGTCGGCAATCAACAAAGAGAGGGAGACCCAGCCCTCCTTCTCTGTATTACGCAGTGATCCTCAATATGACCAACTATACTACATGGTGTCCTACCATGCAGAAACAAATACAAAGCAATGTTTTAAAAAGACATGAAGTTCATTCCTGAGACTGTAATGGTTTTTCTTTTCTTTTTCTCTTTTTTAGAGACAGGGTTTCTCTGTGTAGTTTTGGTGCCTGTCCCGGATCTGGCTCTATAGACCAGGCTGGCTTTGAACTCACAGAGATCTGCCTAGCTCTGCCTCCCGAGTGCTGGGTGGTTTTTCAATTAATTATTTCTTGGACATTAACCACATACCAAGCTCATACTAAGCAACTGTGAAATAATAGTAAACCTATAAATGACTAACCCTTTCCCACCTTAATGGCCTATGACAAGGGAAATAATAACTTCAATGTTACTGGATTATTTTGAACACTAAGATAGGTTTTGGAGCTGGAGATCTGACTCAGTGGTTCAGAGTACTGACTTCCCTTCCAAAGGACACTAGTTCAATTCCCAGCATCTATATAGCAGCTCACAATTGCCTATACCTCCAGTTCTAGAGAACCCTACAACTTCACACAGACATATGTGCAGGGAAACCAATAAAAATAAGTTTAAAATTAAAGAGAAAAAAGATAGGCTTTGAAGAGTCTCTTCTTTATAGAGTCAATATAAGGGAGGTTTTTCTGTTTGTTTTGGTTTTTCAAGACAGGGTTTCTCTGTGTAACATTGGCTCCCCCTGGATCTCGCTCTGTAGACCAGGCTGGTCTCAAACTCACAGAGATCCACTTGCTTCTACCTCCCAAATTCTGGGATTAAAGGTGTGTGCCACCACCAACCAGCTAAGGAACTATTTCTTACTAACTAGATCCAACCTAGAAGGCTTAGAAAACTATAAAGACAGTCCCCACCAATTGCCAAAACAACTTCTCCCAGGGGCTGGATAAAATCTGAAAGCATAGACGGGAATAGTGGTGTATACCTTTAATCCCTGTACTTGGTAGGCAGATGCAGGTGGATCTCTGTAGGTCTGGGCCAGCCGAGTCTATTCATTGAGTTCTAGGACAGACAGAGCTACATAGTGAAATCCTGAGGGATGTGGAGGGGGAAGAAGACTCTGAAAACACATTCCCACCCTATAAACTTGATAGAAATGATGACAAAGGAGCAAGAAAACTGGTAGATTCTCTTCAAACTACTGCTGTTATAATAGTTACTGAGACCAGAGTGGCCTGCATTGGAAACTGCATGGTGGAACAATCTGAACTGACAGGAAGAACTGAATGTGCCCAAGTCCTTCACCCCTCAGCTTAGTAGGGCAGAGGAAGAGGCAAGGCAGTGATGAGAGAACAGCCTGGGGTTGGATGCACCTTTGCAGACACTAAGCTAATTACCTAACAGGACTCTGGTCCTTCAACTGTTTGGAAACATTTGGTGGCCATTAAATCTGTTGTTTACTTATTTTCCTGCTCATTGGAACAAACAAATCAAAACAGAAAGCTTGATGCCTAAACAATGAGCTCTGATTAGTGGCTGCAGAAATGTCTATAATTTCAGAATCTGCTAGTTAGAAAAGGAAGGATGATGCAGTACAAATAATGCTGTGGTCTAGACGGAGTTGCCACCTCCCCAGCTTTATATAAATAGTGATTCAAAAAGCTCCATTTTGAACCTTACGCACCTGATCTTGAAAATAAAGACACAAGACAAGATCAGTTGTGCAGTAATTCTTCAATGGAGACTAGCATCCTTTAACATACTAGTGACCATTCCTCTGAAAAGGGCCAAAATGTCAAAAAATATTAACTCTTCATCTCATCTACTTCCTGTCAGATTCAACCATTCCCCTCCTAACCTTTCTCCCTCAACTCGTTGCTGTATCCCAGTGCCGACTCCAGCAGTCACCCCTTACCATCCCAGTATCCTATCCTCCAGCACCAGCAGGCATTTCCCTGTGAACACACCAGCCGAACATGCCAGGAAAACAGCACACTCTCCAAAAATCCAGACAAGAAACAGAAACCAAGGAATAAAACACCCACCCAACAAAGACAAATCCAGGAATCAGAGCACATTGGCTGCTCTTCCAGATGACCCAGATTCAATCCACAGCACCTACATGGCAGCTTACAACTGTCTGTAACTCTAATTCCAGGGGATCCGATACCTTCACACAGACATACATGATGGCAAAACACCAATAAACATAAAATATAAATAAATAAACACACACACACACACACACACACACACACACACACACACACACACACAAACATCCAGGGCAGTATGTCTCCGCTAGTGCCCAGCTATCCTACCACAGCAGGCCCTGAATATTCCAACATAGCTGAAGCAAAGAAAAAAACCTTAAAACGGCCTTTATGAATATGACAGAGGTCCTTAAAGAGGGAATTAATAAATCCCTTAAAAAAATCCAAGAAAACACAAACAATCACTATAAGGAAATTAATAAAACTGTCTAAGACCTGAAACTGGGAATAGAAGCAATAAAGAAAACCAAACTAACTTAATTACAGAACATTTCACCTAAACACAAGAATATATCCTCTTCTCTGCACTTCATGAACTTTCCCCAAATTGGCAAACAACTGTTAATCTCAAAATACTTTACACTGGTATGAATTTTGGTTTACTAATACAAATTTAAGGTCAATTTTGTTATACAATATGTATATTTCTACTCTTATTTAAGGCATTATGTTTATACAACTCATTTAAAAATGTAATGTGATGGTATGAATGTGTTGCTCTGATTGGATAGTAAATAAAATGGTGATTGGCCAGTAGCCAGGCAGGAAGTATAGGCGGGATAAGCAGAAAGGAGAATTCTGGGAAGAGGAAGGCTGAGTCAGGAGACACCAGCCAGACACAAAGGAATCAAGATGTGAAGGCAGAACTGAGAAAAGGTCCAAGCTATGTGGCTAAACATAAATAAGAATTATGGGTTAGTTTAAGTGTAAGAGCTGGTCAGTAATAAACTTGAGCTAATGGCCATACAGTTTGTAAATAATACAAGCCTCTGTGTGTTTACTTGGGTCTGAGCAGCTGCAGGACTTGTGGTTGAGAGATTTGTCCTGACAGTGGGCCAGGTGGGACACAGGAAAACTTCAGCTACAAATGTATAGTTAAAAAATACAAATTAATAGTCATCTATAATAATCAAATTTATAGTCATGTTAGATTTTCTAGATATGCAGAGATATATTTCAGATAGGTAATCTTCAAACACTTCAAAGACCTGCAGAATATGCCATTTAAAATGTTTTAAGAACTTAAGACTTTTCTGGACAATGAAACACATTTGCACCTGGCAGCACCAATTACTTCAATGAGGATGATGGGCATTGAGGAAACTCATTATGGAGTTTGCTTTCAATGTGGCAAAGGCTAGCCATTTGGGCAAGAAACTGTTCTTCCCTGGGCTGCTTGACAGTATATTATATAAACTGAACTTGCAGGACCCATAGGAAAATGACCACTGAACTTTGCCAAAACAAGGCAGGATGGTCCTTCAGGTTCCTGCTTCACAGAAGAATCTGCCAGACATTCTACAGGACACAGAGCAAAGTGACTGACGAACTTTGCCAAAATAGGTGGGACAGTTTTTCAAATTTCCTGCTTCACTGAAAAGTCTGCCAGATACTCTAAATCCACAGGCTAAGGATAGATGCCCCAACATTACAAAAGAACTTTGGGTGACTGTCCAGGCACCAGACATCTCTGTCATTTCTAGAGTTTTGGAAGTTGCTTGCAACGCACTTCCTGTTTACTCAGGTAGTATTATATCCTTCTGAGGTCTCTGATGTAGTTGAAGACTAGATAGTTAAAATTACAGTTTTAGTTAGTTATGACAAAAGATGAATTAGATATGAAACTTTTAACTCACAAAAAATGGGATCAAATATTTTCTTCAATTTTGCTAAATATAAATAGACATTATAACTGGAATTCTCACTTGATAACTATTTTGTTATGTGTAATTTACTCTGTTAAAATGAAAACCTTCCTTTTTGATTAGATAGAAAAGGGAAAATGCTATAGGACAGTCTTTCTGTATACTGTAAATATGTGTTGCTCCCATTGGTTAATAAATAAAGCTGCTCTAGCCTATGGTAAGCCAGGATAAGAGCCAGGTGGGAAATCTAAGCAGAGATACAGGGAGAAGAGAGGTGGAGTCAGGGCAAATGCCATCCAGCCACCCAAGGAACAAGATGCCAGCAGACCAGTAACACCACAGCCACATGGCAAAATATAGATTAATAGAAATGGGTTAATTTAAGATGTAAGAGCTAGCTAGAAATAAGCCTGAGTCATAGACTAAACAGTTTGTAATTAATATTAGGCCTCTGAGTGATTATTTTTTAAGTAGTTGCATGACCTCTGGACAGAGAGAGACAGAGAAAGGCATCAGGCTACACTCAAACATAAAGGAAGTGTCAACAGATTTAAAAAAAAAAAAAAAAAACACCTTAAATAACTCCCTGCTTCCTGTCAGGCCACCACAGATTAAAGCTGGGTATCAACAGAAACAACAGGAAGCTTACAAACTCATGGAAACTAAACAACTCTCTACTGAATGAAAACTGGATCAAGACGGAAATGAAAATGAATATGTAGTATACTCAAACTTACGGGACACAATGAAAGCAGCAAAGTTCACAGCACAAAGTGCCTGCATTAAAAAAAAAAAAAAACAACTGGAGATAGCTCATACCAGCAACTAAGGCACACCTGAAAGCTCTAGAATAAAAAAGAAGTAAACACACCCAAAAGGAGTAGACCTCAAATAATAATCAAACTGATTATTCATACAAAGAATCAATGAAACATGGAGTCGTTTTTATTTTTTGGTTGGGGGGGGGGGGATAAATCAACAAAATAGACAAGCCCTTATCCAAACTAACTAAAAGGCAGGAAAAGAATATTCAAATTAACATAATCAAAAACACTAAAGAGAGAGAGATAACAACAGACACCAAGGAAATCAGAGACTCATTAAGGACATACTATAAAAACCTATACTCCACTAAATCGGACAATCTAAAAGAAATGGATAACTTTCTTGATAGGTACCACTTACCAAAGATAAATCAAGATCAGATAAACAATTTAAATAGTGACATAGAAGCAGTCATTAAAAGTCTCCCAACCTTAAGGTGGTGGTGGCACACACCTTTGATCCCAGAATTTGGGAGGCAGAGGCAGGAGGATCTCTGAGAGTTCAAAGCTAGCCTGGTCTATAGAGTGAGTTCCAGAACAGCCAAGGCTACAGAGACCCTATCTCAAAAAAATCGAGGGGGGGGGGGGGAGAAGCAGCCCAGGACCAGATGTTTTAGGGCAGAATTCTACCAGACTTTCAAGATCAGCCTACCTCTGTGTCCCGAGGCTGGGATTAAAGGCATGCATCAGCATGCCCAGCTGCCCAATTCACTTTATGGGGCCACAGGTACCCTGATACTCAAACTACATAAAGACTCAACAAAGAAAGAGATTTACAAATCAATTTCCCTCATGAACATAGATGCAAAAATACTCAATAAAATACTTGCAAACCGAATCCAAGAACACATCAAAAAGATTATCCACCATGATCAAGTAGGCTTCATCCCAGAGATGCAAGGATGGTTCAATATATGAAAATTAGTAAATGTAATCCACCACATAAACAAACTGAAAGTTCTCATTATGCAGAAAAGGCCTTTGGCAAAATCCAGTATCCCTTCATGATAAATGTCCTGAAGAGATTAGAGATGCAAGGGACATATCTAAACATAATAAAGGCAATTTACAGAAAGCTTATAGTCAACATTAAATTAAATAGAAACTTGAATCAATTCCACGACACTCTCTCCATATCTATTCAATATAGTACCTGAAGTTTTAGCTAGAGCAATAAGACAACTGAAGGAAAGCAAGGGGATACAAATTGGAAAGGAAGAAGTCAAAGTATCACTATTCGCAGATGATATGATAGTATACATAAGCAACCCTAAAAGTTCTACCAGGGAACTCCTACAGCTGATAAACACTTTCAGCAAAGTGACTGGATACTAGATTAACATCAGAAAATAACACCTTTCACAATAGCCTCAGATATGAAATATCTTGGGGTAACTCTAACCAATCAAGTGAAAGACTTGTGTAATAAAAATTTCAACTCTTTGAAGAAAGAAATTGAAGATGGAGAGATCTCCCATGCTCATGGATTGATAGGATTAACATAGTAAACATGTCCATCCTATGAAAAAGCAAGCTACAGATTCAATGTAATCCCCATCAAAACTCCAACACAATTCTTTATAGACCTTGAAAGAATAATTCTCAACTTCATATGGAAAAACAAAAAACCCAGGATAGATAGCTAAAACAATCACGAACAATCAAAGAACTGCTGGAGTCCCCACCATTGCTGATTTCAAGATGTACTACAAAGTTAAACAGACACGTTGATCAATGGAATCGAACTCAAGACCCAGACATAAATCCACACACATATGGACACCTGATTTTTGGTAAAGAAGTCAGAAATACACACTGGAAAAAAGACAGCATCTTCAACAAATGGTGCTGGCATAACTGAATGTCTGCATGCAGAAGAATGTAAATACATCCATATTTATCACAAAATATGCACAAACTCAAGTCCAAGTGGATCAAAGACTTCAACATAAAGCTAGATACACTGAATTTGGTAGAAGAGAAAGTGGAGAATAGCCTTGAACGCATTGGCACAGGAGAGGACTTTCTGAACAGAACACTGATAGCACAGGCACTAAGATCAACGATTAATAAATAGGACCTCATGAAACTGAAAAGCTTCTGTAAGGCAACAGACACTGTCAATCAGACAATGTGACATCCTACAAAATGGGAAAAGATTTTTACCAACTCCACATCCAATAGAGGACGAATACCCAAAATATATACAGAACTCAGGAAACTACATATCAAAAAAACCAAGTAATACAATTGAAAAATGGGGTACAAGCCAGGCATAATGGCACACATCTGTAATTCCAGCACTTGGGAGGCAGAGGCAGGAGGATCTCTGAGTTCAAGGTCAGCTGGGGATACAAAGTGAGTTCCAAGACAACAAAAGAGAAACCCTGTCTGTAAAACCAAAACCAAAAAAACAAACACAAATGGGGTACAGATCTAAACAGAGAATTCTCAACAGAAGAATCTCAAATGGTTTGAGAAACACTTAAAAGAAATGTTCAACAGCCTTAGCCATCAGAGAAATGCAAATCAAAATGACTTTGAGGTTCCATCTTATATCTGCCAGAATGGCTAAGATCAATAACACAAGTGACAGCCCATGCTGGCTGGTGAGGATATGGAGCAAGGGGAACACTCCTCCATTGCTGGTAGAAGTGCAAACTTAAACAACAACTATGGAAATCAGTATGGCAGTTCCTCAGAAAGACAGTAATTGATCAGCCGCAAGATCCAGCTATACCACCACTCTTGTTATATACCACAAAGACATTTGCTCAAACATGTTCACTGCAGCTTTATAATAGCCAGAAACTGGAAACAACTTAGATGTCTCAACAGAAGAATGGATAAAGAAACTGTGGTACATTCACACAATGGAGTATTACTCAGCTGTTTAAAAAAAAAAAAATGAAATTTGCAGGCAAATGGATGCAACTAAGGGAGAAAAAAAAATCCTGCGTGCAGTAATCCAAACCCAAAAAGACAAGTAAATGATAACCAACCTATAATCTGTAGACTCAGATGTCAGGTAAAGAGAAGAGATCTAGGGGGATACATGGATCTCTCTAGGAGGGGAAAACAGAATACATTTTACAGGCAGACTGGCTGACTGGGGGGGATCAAGTAGGGGAGAGATAGGGTGGAGGGAGAAGTGTAGGGAAAGACAGCTGGAATTGGGGTGCATTTGGAGGGTGGTGTGGAAACCTAGAGCAGTGGAAACTTCCTGGAGTCTATGAAAGTGATACTAATGAGGACTCCTGGTAATGGGGCATATGGAGTCTCAACTGGCCATTTCTTGTAGCCAGCCAGGCAAGACTTCCAGTGTCTGGACTGGGTTGAATTCAATTGAGTTGTTGCCCAAGGGGTCCCATGGAAATCCCCAAACCCAAGCTGTTGTTAAGAAAAACAGTTGCTCTCAGCAAACTGACAGCAAGACCCCATTGCCAAGAACAACACCCACACAACTCACTGAACATGGAGAAGTTGAACATGAAGCTTTCACCACCACGTTCTAGTCTCTTTGGTGTGAGAAGGTACTCTGCAGGCTACTGAAAGGAAACATGGACACCAGCCCAGTCATAAAACCTTTGACCTACTATCTGTCCTACCTGTAAAATATACTAGGGCAATAATGGCACAGAACTTGTAGGAGTAGACAACCAATATCTGGTATGACTTATGGGCCACTCCATGAGAAGGAACTCACATCCAACACTGTTTGGGTAACCAAGAACCAGAAACTAGATAGCCCAGAGACCTAGGGTAAAACCAAACACTATGATTCTTTAAAAAATAGATAGATGAATGAATGAATGAAAATGATTCCTAATGATATCCTGCTATACTCATAGATCAGTGCCTTGTCCAGTCATCATCAGAAAGACTTCCTCGGGCAGCAGATGGGAACAAATGCAGAGACCCATACCCAGACATTATACAGAGAGTCTAAATTGGAGGTCCATTAAATTCCTCCCCTCAGAGCTCAGGGAATCTCGAAGAGGAGGTGGAAAGATTTTTAAGAGTCAGAAGGGATGGAGGACACGCAGAACAAGGCCCTCTGAATCAACAAAGCAAAGCGCATATGAACTCACAGAGAACGAAGCACCAAGCACAGTGCCTACCTGGGTCTACACCAGGTCCTCTGCATATATATTATAGCTATTAGCTTAGTATTTTTATGGAACTCCTGACTGTGAGAACAAGTGGGTCTCTGACTCTTGTGCCTGCTCTTGGGATTCTTCCTCCTGTTGGGTTGCCGTGTCCAACTTCAATATGATAATTTTTGCTTCACCTTATTTTGTCATGTTTGGTTGTTATCTTTTAGAAGCCTGTTCTTTTCAAATGAGAGACAGAAAGGGAGTAGATCTGGAGGAGAGGGAAGATGGGGAGGAACCGGGAGGAGCAAAAGAAGGGGAAACTATAATCAGGATATACTGTGTGAGAAGAATCTATTTTCAAAAAACATAAATAAACAATTTATGTTTAAAACACTGAAATAGAGGCAGGGGGACCACCATAAGATCAAGGCCAGCCTTGAGTGAGACCCTGTCTCCCAAACAGAACAAACATTAAGTCATATGCCCATTAATATTCATTAAAATTTGACAGGATTTTAGACAATCAAGAAACATCAGTTTCTCTCAGTATTGATCATTGAGGCTGTTTAGTAGTCATACTAAGCAGCCAATCTAATTCTTAAGAAGTTGGGAATAAAAACCAGAGAGTGGATGGGAGCCTGGTAGGAGGCCTATAGCCAGAGTGATCTAAATAAAGTAGATGCCATCATTAACCTCATCTTGAGACATGCTGGTGAAATAGGTTCAAAGGGTCATTTGGGATACCAGACCCCAGGAACCCTTACACTGAGGTCAGTATAGGAAAACTATATGGGACTATGAGAAGGGATGGGGGTGGGAGTGGGAGGCTACAGATGGGAAATAAATTGAATTAGCT